TCAGCTTTGCGACGTATTACCTAAGTGCCCGGGGAGCACCCCTCCTTGCTGAGCTTTGAGTGCTCTTTCTCGAGGCATTCTAAGATGCTTCAGAGTTTCAGAAGACGACATCGTGATCAGCTCCTACTCGCCAACTTTTACCTTCATTTTCGCTGATTGGTCGGTAATAGTTCTGGCTACCACTGCCACTGCTTACTCCCGAAACCCTTACCCGGGGTGATGTTAGTGGATGGAATGCCGCCTGAGTTAATTGTGGCATGACGGCAATCCCATAGAACCACCACAGTAGGCAGAGTAAATCTAAGCGCCCCATCCTAAATGTTTAATGATATATACGGCTACACGACTTCCTTTCAGTAAGTAATCCCTCAGAAGAGTCAATAACAATAGGATTCCAGCTGGGAATTTCTGATGATTGGCCTACCTGGAGTAGAATTAAATATCAATTTAGAAGAAAGCTAGCCTCGCAGAGATGTAAGTTTCGATCGACAAGCCTAAGGCTGAGCGCCCGCTTGTAGACCTCAGTTGAAGAATGAGAGCGGGGATTCGTAATGGCCTCAGGAGCTTTTCGATCAAGTATTTTGAACCGTCAGTTGATACATTATGTATCATTTTGCTTTACAGGTCACATTGACAGGCCCAACAATGTCTTTTCCGGATGATGAGTATGCAATTGCAGACAAAAGGCAGGAGTCATGGACTGCTTAATGGGTCTCGGATCGTGTAACACGCCGCAAAAAAGAATAAGCGGTACGGAGCTGCCGGACAATGGTGACTTCCCGTCGGTTCTGTAGCCACCGGAGCAACATATTCAGATCTCCTTGCAGGAACCAAATGTTTCCTTTAAGAATCTAGACTTTCCGGGCCTAACATAAATTGACATCTGGCTTCAGGGGAAGTCACCTGGTATCGGGTAAGAGGACGCTTGCTTGTTTTTAATTGAACCTCCTCTTATGCTGTCGACGGGACAAGTGTGAGTCTGGAATGGCCGCAGCGAGAACATGTCCAGTAGTGTTAACGCTGGTACCGTTTCATAGGGAGACTTCCGTGTGATGTGATCATGTGATGGAGGTACCCGCACTACGTCGGTATGTTTGTTATTAGACCCCTTTCGAACTATCTTGGTTTTGCCATGTTTAGCTTGGGTGGGGGGTTTGATGACCACATTCCTTGTTGGGCTGTGAAAAGAAACTTGAAGGCTGAGCTGTTCAAGGGGTGCATACATCCGCATCCCTTGCTGTTGACCACTCAACTCTCAACTCACTCAACTCACTCAACTTACTCAACTCCCTCAACTCTCGACCTTTGGCATTGAAACGAGAATTCAGGAGATGGCCGAGACCTGAAGAGAACCGCCGACTCGAAGAGAACCATCACAACATACGGAAGGGCCAAGAAGCTCAGCCAGGATGACGACAATTCTGGAAGGCAAGAACAACAAGGACGAGCATGCTCACAATCACAAGCAGAACGTCAACAACGAGCCCTACTACCACCAATCCAAGAATCAGAAACATCAAAATAATCATCAGCAACAACAAGCCTTCATCAGCACCTCCCCCGCCTCATCCTCATCCTCTTCTTCAAACCATCAACTCACCAAGAAATTCAAATCAGAATGCTCAGCTCAAAGGCACATCCAATTCGACCAAGAGACCCTCAATCAGATCGATCGAGTCGAACTGCAGAGACTTTGGGGCCCCCATCTCGTCCCACTTCAATTCGTCATCCAACGGACAATCGCTCAAGTTTTCAACGAACTACAGATATTATCTCAGATGTGCGAAAATCCTTTTTGTTCATACCACTTCTCTCTCATCTGACTCCATTGAGACAAAGACGTGAACCCCCCCTGTGTCACTCCACTCATCCTAGAACGCGTCTCTTTTTTCTTTGATCGCATCAAGTTCACCAAATCTAGAGGATTACGATCGCAAAAAACGCGTCATTGACTTCGTCGTTCACAGTCGTCGTCAGCTCATCAAGCTACTCGTTCTCGTCAAATGGTCATCTAACTCAGTTCCAGTCCATAAAATAATGGTATTTTTCTCTCAATCTTATTCTGACTAGATCAAAAGAAAATTATCTCAAATTATCGCAACTGATTATTTTCGTTTTTGTTGTTTTTGCCTTTTTACACACAAATTATTCTCACCCCCCATTTGATTTCCAATTCTTTCTTTCCCTGGATGAGTCTCACCATCTTCTCTAGAGTATCGTCGCATTCCTGCAGCGTCAAAATAGCCAATTCGAGCGCAATGTGAATATCCTCAAAGCTTCTAAAGAAAGTTTTCATTCTGCCAGGTCAGTAGCACTAGTTTTCAAGCGTTCATGTCTCTCAAAATTTAGCTCAGCAGATGGATGACGGAGTACAAATATCATTGGGTCAATCAGAATGCGAAATTATGATCTTGCAACTGCTCTGCAAGTATTGACTAATGGGTACCCGACACTCCCCGGACGACTGATCGATCAATTTGACTCCAAACCTAAATTGTCCGATTCTGAAGTAATCAAAATCATGCATGATTTGAACGAGTTGATCAGATATCGGTTAGCTTCATGCGAGGTTATACCGAAAGAGTTTCGGTCTTATCGAATTTGTTCGTCAAATCATTCCGCATCTTCTTTTCATTGACTGATGGTTTGTTTTTGGCGGGCGGGATCATACACTTCCCAACACATATCTAAAAAAAGATGATGGAAGAGTCGTATTCAAAATCAGTAGAATGTTTGAATGCAGCCTCACCTTAGGTGGCGGTGAATTGGACTCTCAATGGTATCTGTTACACGTCGAGTTCTTATTCCGAGTCACAGGTCCCCGAGGAAAAGGTTGCCATCTCAGAAACTTTACAGCACACTGTTCATATTTCTAGCAATTTACTGAAAAGGTATCTAAATCTCTTCGTGTACAGACTTCATGAGTATCCCTCAAGGTCCCGTCAAAAGCCAAATAATTGAATGTGGAAATAGGACGATGGCCCCCAACACTCTGCCTACAGAGGCTGATCCGGATCCTAAACCCCCTGAACGGCCTATAATGAAATTGTTTGCTTATCTTCGTCAGTCAACGTTTCACAATTCCCCATCCTATTATCATGCAATCCCATCAAGCTTGGCTCCATTATGATTACAAGTTGAATTAAAACAAACAATTCAAACCCAGGTGATCTTTGCCTGAATTATCAACTGGAGGCATTACATTACCAAGCAAGTCAGCTCGGAAGATCTGCTTGGGCTACGCACACCAGACTATTGATCTCACCTGATAGGAGTAATCTGACCATAGTCTATTGGTTGTAAGTTATGTGTTTTCCTTTTTCTAATCAAATTTCCAGCTGTGAAAAATAAATCATTTATATATCAACATTTTCAGACATGCTCGGCCTGTATCCATTCCAGTGACACGGCCTGGACAACAGCCTCCCAGGAATCCTCCCCAACCGACACCACAAGGGACTCTAACTGTCAGGCGGCATATTGAGCGACATAGCCCCAGCCGAACGCGTGTACTAGATTTCTTGAACGGATACCCATTGAAAGACAAGCTACCATCAGACGGGCAAGATGGTGATTTTGGAGCCAGTCACACCGAGCGATTACAAGTAGTTTGGAGACCGAGTGAGGTTACGAGTCGAGGAGGTCCAGTAACGAGAGAGGTCTTGGGTGGTTTGAAGATTCGCGAAGGAGATGAGGTGGACTTTTTGAAAACCGATTCCGGACAGCTCGAGCTTGAATTGAAGATGTCAGAACTCTGCTTGGAAACCATTATTCAGCGAGCTGTTCGTGTCCACACAGATTGTACTTTGAGACGGGCCTTTTCAGACTTGACACGACTAGACCGACCAGCGGGCGGTTCTTCAACACGCGTCGTACCGTACTTTGCCTCAGTACGGCTGATACCATGGAGGATACTAGCAGTTCAGAACGTTTTGCAAAGTCGATCGAGGTCGTTCTACATGCCCGACATGCCATTGAAGTCTTAATCGATCAATTTTCAGGTCGGTTCAGATTGCAATCGATCACTAATCCTATTCGGCTTGATGAGGGTGATAACGACTCGCACATAGCTGGAAGTTGGCTTGTTTTAGTGGTTATAATCCGTCAAGCTAAGCAATCTGCAATAAATCATGCAAACCCAAGTGGACTGAGGGATGTTCTTGTCAGATTGAATTCAGATGTCAGTATACCAGATTATCATCCACAACCACAAAGAAAGCTGATTTTCCGATTTGAACGATAATTTCCAACATCAATTCTCCAGATCTTACTCGATCAGATTGAGTTCAAAGCCCGCTTGTTAGGAATTCAAACAACTCGAAACTTGCCGATCCAACTACAGCTTCTCTCGATGCCATCATACTTATCTTCTCCTTCAACGATCCCACAGCATATTTTCCAATTGACACTGTATTGTAGATTATCCAATTTCCCCCACCATTATTTGTTGATCATGGTTACCGAGAATGGAATCAGATGTGCTCTAATCATTGTCAATCAGAAACGCGACGACCAACCAAGCAATCATGGCGGCAGTAGTATGTCCTGGAATGTTAATTCCGTTTCGGCGGTTGAAGTTCCTACTTTTTCGGACGATCTGGATGAAGATGGCGGGGTGTTGGATCAGTTAAGCATCTTTGTTTGACTTTCTGTGTCTGGTCCTAAAACTCGCTTAACTGATTTGAGCCGATTTCTCTGTTTTTCTCGTAGGTTTACCCTAAGCCGGACACAATTACAATACGTTTATCACTATTGCTTGTCAGTTTCTTATTTTGATCAAGTTTGATTCGGTCGGCTTTCATGCTCATTTTTGGTTTCATTTTTTAACTTCTTTCTCGATAAAATTATGCAAACAAAAGAGTTCAAGTCACACTAAGTCAACTCAAAGCTCCTTTGAGGCAGAATCAGATCAGCTATGAACAACAGTTACCAGTAACCACAGAGATAATCAAGAAAACATATCAGGAACATCGAAATCAAAGACCCAAACTGACTGGAAAACCGCCCCCATCATCAATCAAATTGCCCGAATTCCACCAGGCACACGAAGTCACCGGTTTATTGTTAATTCCTCTTCAAGGATTCCTTAAACCTTCTTTTTTTCATAGTCATCATCTACTCACCCAAAAAGATATCTTCGATGGTCAGAAGTTGGCCCTTAAAGTCTTGCTTCAACCTGAGTCTCATTTTGGTGTTCAAGTTGAGCATTTCCGCTTCTACATTACAATGCATCAAGCAGCTTCATAGAGAAAAAGCTGACGTAGAATGTTTTGTGCACTCAATTTGTTTTTCTTCTCTCGGGGAAATCCACACTCTTGTGTAGCTTGAACTACGATTCAAATTCAATCCCGACAAACTGAAGGCTGAAGAGCTAGAGAAGATCATCAAGTCCAAAGAGACCAACCTCAACTCAAAAATCGTATCGAATTATTTGATGAGACAAGCCAAATCTCAATCACCAGTCACTCCCAACCCAAGGAATTTCGGGCAGCCACCAAAAGATGATGACGATGATGACGATGACGAAGATGAGGAGCCGCTATCGAGAAGGATCCAACCAACACGTCCCAAACCCGCTTCCCCAGCTGTGACAAATACAGCTGAGGAACCAAGAAAAGAATGCCCCAATTTAGAAGAAGATCCCGATGCAGAATTTGTAGATTCTGATTCTTGGTCGATCGACGCTCAGTCTAACCAATTCATCATGCGCTTTCAAAACTTTAATCAACAGATCGATCAGATCTATCCGCTTTCGATTCAGAAATTCATTAATTTAATTCATTCCGATGCTGATCCTCTTCCTTGAATATTTCATTCCTTCTTCTTCTTTCCATTCTTCATCTCGTCATTTTTCCCTTTGTTATATCTGGTTTGTCCAAAAATGAAATCTATACATACAGATAAAACAACTCATGACATATACATATGCACACATATATATATGTAAATAGATAGATATAGATATAAATTTTCATCCATGCACTTTTCTTTTCTGTTGTTCACCTTGAATTGTGCATAGGAAGTTATCATGTCATCTATGTCACATGAATAGGTAAATAAGATGATAATTCAACGCAGGGCAAGAAGAACTAACACAACTGCTACCAGTTGACATTGGAGACTCTGGGGGAGCTTGTGATGTTCCTCAAACCTTGCTCAAACTTTATTGTGGAATTTGAACCAAACCTATGTTGGAGTATCCTCCATGTCAACTGGTGGCAGTTGAGAGTTCTTTTGGCAGTGATCCATAATTGATTCCATCAAACCAAAACAATAATCCTTGATTTTTTTTTTTCTTCTTTTTTTTCATTGGACACTTTTCTGTATATACAGTACATAAGCACTATTAGCTTCACATAATCATTTGGTCTTGATTTTTAATGTTGTGAAGTGTTATTGTACACCGCATACCATCAATAAAACACAAACAGGTCATCTCGTATTGTCTGTACATTGTGGTTCAAAACATAAAAGGAGAAAGGAGAAAGGAAAAGGGAGGGCTGACCTAGCTCGTGCTTGCCTCTTGAAGTATAAATCTGTACAACGCCTGTTGCCCAGCATCCATGCAATTTATTTAATTATGCAAAGCAGCCATCAGAGCCATGGTTGAATCAATCCCACTGGTTGCCCAGAATTGTTGCAGATATGCTATGTCAGAGTTACTACCACTTTCAATGAACTGGTGGATGAACTGTTTGGGAGTCATCACCGCTGGTGAAGTGCACAGAACCAGGCAAATATCAAGGATCTTCTGCTCCATATCCCAGGGTAAGACTGATCAAGGTAGGTAGAAAATAAATGAAATCAAATAGATTTAACTAATTAATGTTGATTATGTTTGGCTAGCTTGGAAAATTTGATGAATGAGGTTATGCCTGTGTGGTTGGATTAGAATAAATAGACATGCTTTGTGTGATGATCATCAATGTGCACATAAGTGCCCTCTATTTATATCCCCAAAGGATCTGGTGAAGCTGTTATCTGACTGGCATGTTCTTCTTGGATTGATAATTCAATCATACAAGTATGTGACACATACTGATTGTGTAGTATGTGTCAAGAAAACTTCATGCAGTACAGGACTACAGTGTGTGTACTGTACTAGAATCATTCAGTATGTTTCACATCTGCAACAAGTTGAACCGTAAATATGACAAAAAAATTAAATTTGAAGCTTGCATAGCACTGGGCTGGTCAACCAGCAGGCTTCTATAATTTATTGTGGGATGGGTGCAATTTCCTCCTTTCAATAAGTGCAATTGGCAGTGGAATTTTTTTTTGATGAAAAAAGGAAATTTTTTTTTTCAGGGAAAGAATCTAAAAACTGCGGACCAGCTTGTGGAGATATCAAAATATGCAGGCAAATCCCCCGCCCGCCAAAGGGTTGTATATAACAAATCCAGGGAAGAGCACTGAAGCGTCATAACGTAACGTTAATTCCAACGGCTCCGTTGCCAAC